TGTCAACCCGGGTCCTAGATGTGATGACTACTCGGTGAATTCTTGTTATTTAGCGGTGAAATTTTAGTGCAACTCAAGCGAACAAAACACAAAGCAAGTAAACGGTTGTTGTCAAGTCAAGAGAGGTCACCCGGATATGGTTCCCCCTAGACTGCAGTTAAGTCGGATTGCAATTTACCAAGTTCAGTTTTCATGAAAGTTATACTGCGGAAGGTTCTTAATTAGCCTGAAGTCTCGACTAAAGGTCTCCAGACCCTCTCAATATGAGTCTCTAGCGGGCGACTAACCTCCACCGGAGTAAACAGATTGAGGCCCTAACGAACCAAACCTCCACTACCGAATTGAATTCGGTACAGAATAGCGAATTGGCTCCTCGACTAAAGTCACCAATTCGCCACCTTCGATTAAGGGTACTCTATCAACCTAGGCAGATATTCTCATTCCAGGTCAAAGCAGAAACAACAGGAATTTGATCAAGATTCAAGTCATTCAATCATTCAAACCTCAATCGAATATAATCAATTCACAAACTCTGTACTTGGGTTCATACAATCAGACCTAGCATACAAATCTAGGGTTCCCCATACCCAGATGAATGGGGAAACTACTCCATAGAGAAAGAAGCAAAAGCAGATTCAGACGCGGAAATCATACTGTGAAGATGGATTCCTGCTCCTAGACGTTTAATCGCACTTCTCCAAGCTCAAACCGGGCTCCAATGGTGTTGAAGATCGATCTATGGCGCTTGGGAACTCTGGTTCGTCACTTTCTCTCTCTAGGTATCGCTTTCTCTCTCAAAAACTCGGAACCCTTCATTGTTGGCCTTCTTTCTCCTTAAATTGACTGCCTGGTCGCGATACCCGATCGAAATACCCGGTCGGGTATTTTGGGTTTCGACCGGGTATTATCGCAGCGCACCGTTTCGCTTAAGGGAAGAATCCCCGGTCACTCGCCATAATCCCCGACCGGGGGTTTTGCTGTTTTGCCCGGGCCCCTCTCTGCTTCTCGGGCGCCCAAAAGTGATGAATACCCGGTTGGGTATTTGGCCACCTGACCGGGTATTTTCCTCCTTCAGCCCACTTTGTCCCAACTTCGCTCCTTTCGACCCAGAACTCGTTTCTCCGCCTCGATTCCAACGCCGGGACCTGAAATATGACATAAACACACAACCTAGCGTGAAATCGGCTTAAAACACGAGATTCCTCATCACAAACGGCTTCAGAATAGGGGTGAAAACATGTATAATTATCGGTCTATCAATCGTCCTGGTCCCGGGACGCAGTTGAACGAAACGGCCACCACTAGCAGCGGCGGGAGAAGCTGGTGGAGGCGAGTTGTGCGCAGCGCTGAAGACGGCGACCCCGTCGCCGATACCTGGGCGAATATCGATCGCAGCCTGAGTTCTCAGTCTTGTTTCCTCCTAAATCAGCAAACTGAGAACTCCTTCAGCCTTCAAATTCTTGCGATTAAGCAATGATGCGCGGATGGGTTCAAACTCCCGATTCAGCCGCATCAAAAATTTCATAAGTCGTATCTTCTCCCTTTCGGCGCGAACCTCCGCCGAACCAGCAGTGGAGAGAAGAGAGACCATCACCATGTCTTGCTCAGTCCATAGATTGCGGGCAGCATTATAATAAGACGTGACATCCAGGCTTCCTTGATAAAGATTAGCAAGCTCTACCTCTATTTCATACTGGCGAGATGAGGTAGCTGTTCTCTACGTGTCCCCCCAGGTATCTCCACATATCCGCAACAGTGGGAAGCATTCGGAGACCAAGAATAATCGTAGCATCCACAGAATTGAGAAGAGACATGCGAACCTTAGCATCATTCAAGACCCATTGTTGTACCTGTTCTGCCGACGCAGGTGGTGAAGCTGGCCGAGCCACAGTCCCGTCGAGCCATCAGAGAAGGCATTTCCCTTCAATCAAAGTTCGAAACTGAAACTCCCAAATATCGTAGTTCTTGGAGTTGAGAGGAGCAGTAATCTGATCAGAAGTCATAGGCTCTGATACCATGTTGATCGAAATAGAATATTGAAACAGTAAACGTAAATCAACACCGAGAGTTACGTGGTTTCCCCGTTCAGTATGAACGAGACTAGTCCACAGCCGAAGCTATCGTATCGTATTATTCAGCTTAACCCTAACAGGTTCAATTACATACGTACATATACAAACTAGGGTCCCAAACCCTAGACCACAACTCGGCAGCCCCTAGTCCACGTACAATGATCACCCGAGACTAGGAAAGTGGGCCGAAGCCCATACATTACTCAACAGATTCTGGATTGTTCCATATTTTTTTCTCTTCATAGTAGGCGACGTTTAAGGTTTTAAGATCTCTAAAACCAATTCCTTCCTGTGCTTTTGGTATGCAAACCTTATCCAAGTTTGCCGTGGATCTATTTGATTGTTGTTCATTCATTAGAAATGCAAACTATTGCGCCGCAATGCATAATTAGTTTAACCCATCTGCCATCAAAGCCCAACCTTAGCATCATTAGCTTTAGAAAATCTCAGTCAACCCTATCATAAGCTTTTGAAAATTCAAGTTTTGATGTCATAACATTGCCTAGAAACACTCAAAGGTCACTATGACATTGTAAATCATGAATCGGCTAGGCACAAAAGTACTTCGATTATCCACAATCACATTATCCAAAAACCTTTTTCAGCCTATTGACCAACACCTTTCCAAGTAATCTTGTGTAGAACTTTACACAAGCTAATAAGATGAAATCACATTATCTGGTGTTAGGGCTGAGATTCGGTCTGCCGGTTAACGGTTTAACCGGTAACCGTACCTGTAACCAATTAAACCGTTAACCGACGACAACGGTTATCGAATTGCAAAAGAGGGGCAACGATGTACCGGAATCGACAAGCCAACAACCCGTCGGATTCCCGGTTATCCGATACCGGAATTGGTAGTGCTTGGATCGAAATTGCAAAAGGCCAAAAGCCTAAACGTACACAGATCGGCACCCCAACCCTAATTACAATTTACCTAAGTAAATACTAAAATAACAATGGTAAATTAATCTTCGTCCGCAACCCGTCTCCCCTCTGCCTGCTCGAGGACTCCTGCGATACAAACCAAGCTGGTAATCTAGATCCTCGCTGTCGTCGACTCGCCACCACACGCTCGACCCACGAGCCACAACCCAGCAGCCCAGGCAGCACCTCGTCCTCTTCACCGACCACAGTGCTCGACCTCGTCGCCGTCGGACCTATGTTCGTCAACCCTCATGGCCGTCGACGCTTCCCTGCTCAGTATTCATCTCCTCTCCGTCCATTTTAGGTTTGAATTAACTATTCTTTTCGTGCATGCATATATGCCCAACTCAAAAAAAAAAAAAAAAACAGCCGGCCCTTGAGATATATATACGTGTCCAACTGCCCATTGTCCAGTTATGTTCCCAAATCCCACGTGCACAGTGATGCTTGCGGACATGACTTGGCGAAGGATTATAGGAGCAGGAGAAGGGATGCTTGCGGACACTGTAAAGTGTAAATGATGACATGTGTCGTGACTCATGAAAGATGAATCAAATTGATTTTTTGGACAATAGACACGTTAAAGGCTTAAAGCTACATGAGTATACCGACTCTTACACGGTATCGACAATCGGCGGGTGTGTGATGATATGCGGTATACCGGTAACCGGGTAAATGGTATCCGGTTTAACCGGTTACCGACCGTTTACCAGCCCTATCTGGTGTCTTTGATTTTTAAACCAAAGCAATCAAGGTATGGTTCAACTCGCGTGGAAAGGCTCCTAGCCTCCTACCTCCAAATAACCACTTAGATCTTCCACTAATGTTTGCTCTACTATGTCTCGATTTTTCTGAAAGAATAATGCTGGCATACCATTTGCACCAGGAATCTTCGTATACCCCAATACCTAAGGGTGGCAGTTCGGTTACCGGTTAACCGGTCGGTTAAACCGATAACCGGTCGGTTATCCACTAACCGGTAACCGAAATAACCGAACTTTGGTCGGTTATCGGAGGCTAGACGAAATGGTTTTTGGTCTTAAAAGTGGGTCGGTTAATCGATAACCTAGATAACCGAGAAACCGAAGCCTATTTCGGACAATTTTTGGTAGAGCAAGTGATTATTTCAGTTAACCGATAACCGGCCGATCGGTTATTGGTTATAACCAAAATAACCGAAATGCCACCCCTACCAATACCCTTTAGAGCCTGCCAAGTTTCTTCATTAGTAAAAGGTAACAACAGTTGATCATTCGTGGCTTGAGTTACTTTAGGTTGAACTCATATCAGATCCTACATGTTCTTGGTGGCTACACGAAGGTGGTACATAGTCGTGAGATGGCATATAATGGTACCGCGTGGTACATTATTTTTTGACGAACTATATAGAAAAAAAGATTAAAACAAAGAAGATACAAGTCGATTAAGGAAGTAGGTTTTGTTTAATCTCACCCCTTATATATTGTCCTACTCAAAATCAAGTAGTAAGATCTGATTATCCAAAAAATACATAATCAAGAGTTATTCATCCTATCATATACCCAATATCCCATATACTTCACCCAAACGATTAGGTGCACACATAGGTATATGGTTGGAAGATTGTCTTATGAGTGGAGGACGAGTTGAGAATAATTGAGTCAAATAGTGTTCACTGATGTTTTACTCTCATTTACGATAATCTTGCTATCAGTATGAACCCCTTTTTTATGAGTAACTATGAACCTTATTTTGTAGGTTTAACTCGACAGATCTCCTGTGATTTGGACAAAGTGATTGTTTTGTTACGAACAACTTAGTCTAATAAGCACTTTATTACAATTAGTAACCATTTTGATACAGTTCTCATAATTTAGTGATCATTTTGACAATTTCACCATTTGACATTAACGGCAGCGAGTTAGTCTAATAAACAGTTTATTACAATTAGTAACCATTTTGATACAGTTCTCATAATTTAGTGATCATTTTGGCAATTTCACCATTTGACATTAACGGCAGCGACGACGGGGACTGGACGATCCCGTTCTTCCCGTAAATTCAGAAAAAGCGGATTCCGATTTCCCGCAAAAAAGAAGTTCCCCACGAAACCCTTTTGCCTTCTTCTTCGTCCTCCGTAGTAAGAATATTCTGCGCCAGCGGCTGTAATTACATGTGGTTGAAATTCGCTTCTTTTTGCTCGTATCGTTCAATCAGTCCTTTACCCAAATTCCCGAAATTCCCAGGTTATGGACGCAGCTGCGTGATTCCATTGGGAGCAATAGGAATTCGAGCTGGAGTCCGCTCAGCGATTCGACAGCTTTGGTGGGTTGGTTCTACTATATATACATGGAGTCGGATACGTTGGTGGAGGAGAAAACCACGCTGTGATCGCCATTTCTCATCCAGCGTTGGATTTCGGTAATTCATTTTCTATGTATTATTGCCTTTGATTGTTTGCTCGAAGAATTTGTTTTTCATGCTATCTTCGTTTCTTCTGTCCCGAATGGCAGGATAGTTTCCTTGTTGGAGGATTTTGAGGACCCAACAGAGTTTGAATTAAGATATGGGGAACCAGACGGCTGTATGATTCTTCTTTGTTTTTGACCCTTTTCATTTGTTTGTTTCTATTTAGGGTTGCAGTAGGCATTTCATTTTCTGATGCTTTTTTCTGTTTGGTCATCTTTGCTGTGATGAATTCAGGGACACGATGGAAATAACCAAGAAGCTGATATTGGTATGCTATTGCAGTTACTGTGGTTGAGTTCTTATGTCACATGGATTTGTGATGGCTGTTTGTAAATGATGCTGAATTTTGATGGTGTTCAGGGGCAGTGATTCGTAATGGAAAGGAAGTTCTTTTCCAGGTAAGATTCCTTCTGAAGTTTGCCTGAGAATGTTGAATTCACTGCCTTGGATATTCTATGTAATGAATAGTAGAATTGCATAGCTATGTGTGTCCAGCTTTGAATTATAGCTGAACTTTCTTCAAACAGGCTTTTAATTGGGAGTCTCACAAGCATGACTGGTGGAGAAATCTGGAGAAGAAAGTGCCTGATATGGCGAAATCCGGGTTCACTTCAGCTTGGTTGCCACCACCTTCTAATTCTTTCGCATCTGAAGGTTTGAAGGAATTAGTTAAGCTTGTTGCATGTACCAATATTTACTGCTTGATTATAAACCTTCTGCCCTTTGTTTCGAATAGGTTACCTTCCACAGAATCTTTACTCACTCAACTCAGCATATGGTTCTGAGCACCTATTGAAAGCTCTGCTTCACAAGATGAAGCAGCATAGAGTGAGAGCAATGGCTGATATTGTTATCAATCACCGAGTCGGGACAACCAGAGGGCACGGTGGGATGTACAACCGCTATGATGGAATTCCATTATCATGGGATGAGCGTGCTGTTACCAGTTGTACTGGTGGATTGGTAATTCATTTTCACTATTCTTGTACTCTGGGGATCGTTGACCATGTGCATAACAATTTCAATTTGAGTACCAATTCACAACGTTTGGCTATATGCATCATATTGGGCAGTGGGCATTGAACTCAATGTTGAGACAACTAAAGCACCAAACTCATCCTAATAAAATTTTCTTGTTAACATTTCAATTCTGTCTATATCTAAACCCTAAGAACTTAGATCCTGACTAGTATTTTTGTTGTTTACTTTCATTATTCCTCCAGGGAAATCAAAGCACTGGTGACAACTTCCATGGTGTTCCAAACATAGACCACTCACAGCACTTTGTGCGCAAAGACATTACAGCTTGGCTGCAATGGCTGCGTTACACCATTGGATTTGAAGATTTTCGTTTTGATTTTGCAAGAGGGTAAGTTTTTTTTGTTCTCCTTTTGTGATTTTTACTATATGTTTTTCAATGTTATGGCTGGTGATACTTATGCATATTCCTCAAAATTGCAAGTTTAGCTATTCGGCTAAGTACGTGAAAGAGTACATTGAAGGAGCCAAGCCAAAATTTGCTGTTGGAGAGTATTGGGATTCTTGCAACTACAATGGCAGTTACTTGGAGTACAATCAAGGTATACTTCTTGCTTTTTTATGCTTATTGTGTCCCAGATTAATTGGAGGCTCATACCTAATCCGTTTCTGGACATTAATGACTCAGATAACCATAGACAAAGGATAATCAATTGGATTGATGGCACAGGACAGCTCTCAGCTGCATTTGACTTCACTACTAAAGGAATCCTTCAGGTATTCTCATACATTGCCTATGCAAAGATAATTGTAGCTGATAAGGATAACATACTTTTTCTAGTTGTGGACTTATGGAATGAGGTTAATGCCTTAGTCAAAGAACAGTATCCACATACTTTTTCCTGCTTATCATCGATGAATGAATATTTCGAAACAGGAAGCAGTTAAGGGTCAACTATGGCGTCTTCGCGACTCTCAAGGGAAGGCTCCAGGTGTAATAGGATGGTGGCCATCGAGGGCCGTCACATTTCTTGATAACCATGATACAGGATCAACCCAGGTACCAAAATAGCCTCTAGTTTCTAGTTTCTGCATTTAAGGGTTTTGAGCATTCATAAATGTCCAGCAAATAATCTAAACCGTCCTCTGTGTACCCTATTTCAGGCTCATTGGCCTTTCCCTTCACATCATATCATGGAGGTACTACAGTCATAGCACCACCGTATATATATTAGGAAACGGTTTTACCTTTGATTAGCTTTGACCTCTCCTTTGGTTGCATCCCAACAGGGCTATGCATATATTCTCACACATCCAGGGATACCAACTGTCTTTTACGATCACTTTTATGACTGGGGTGACTCTATTCATGACCAGATTGTGAAACTGGTAAGTTGGGTTTGATATAACGCTATCTGCCCTGCAAGAACCAACTTCTTAGTTCTTGCTCCTTTGGTTTGCAGGTCGATGTTAGGAAGCGTCAGGGCATCCACAGCCGAACCCCCATCAGGATTCTGGAGGCACAGCCAAATTTATACTCTGCAATGGTAGGAGAGAAGGTGTGCATGAAAATGGGAGATGGTTCTTGGTGCCCTGCTGGAAAAGAATGGAGCCTTGCAGCAACTGGGCATAGATATGCCGTGTGGCAAAAGTGATGGAATGGATGCCCATGTTTTTAAGTACTACTAGCATAATCCCGCTCGCTATCGCTTTGCGTGTGCGAGAACTTAATATTTTAAAGATTAATAGTTTAAATTTTGACAAAAAAGTAAGGGCTTGTCATCTACAACTCCATGTAGTCGACGGCTCGACGCAGCCATGAACTTTAATAAGGGAAAAAGGTTGTCAAACAAATGATTTTTATGTTTAATCTTCTCGCATAACACTATTTATTAGATAGTTTGTATTGTTTTTGCTTTGTTTTTTTAAGTTGATCTTGATTCTCCTTTTTATGAATTTTTGGGACTTATTGCAAGTTTGAGTAGGTTTAACTCACTTTGGCCAGATTGAATTAGGATGAATACCCATGAATTTGGGTTCAATTTCATTCTCAATGAATTCAGTCATTGGAAGAAAGCCTTGTTCTTTGGGAGACAAAAAAAAAAAAAAAAAAAAGAGAAATTAACAAACACTAAAGCTGATAAAACATGCTCACGATCCAAAATTTGCCAACGTCATGTTCAACTTTCTTTGATCAGGTTGAATTGAGTTTGTAACAAATTCACAACCGGGATTTTTTTTTTGACAAAAGATAATCATATATTGATAGAAACAAATCGATAGTTACATCCTGGAATTCAGCCAGGTCTGAAAATCAAAATAACGACACGTAGTCATGATCAAAGACAAGGCCTGTCTAGCTACTAGGGGTGGTATTCGGTCGGTAACCGGTAAACCGGTTACTGACTTTACCGGTTTTCGGTATACCGAGTGTGGGTAAGTGGGAATCGATTACCGATACCGGTTTGTAACCGGTTTACCAGTTACCGAATTACCGGTAAATGGTTACAAACCGGTTTTACCGACTTACTGCAAAGAGTAGTCGCGGACGGTTTTTCGGTTCGGTTTACCGGAAAATTACCGAACCGAATTTCTGGGCAATAGAGTGATGTTGTAATATTTTGATTTTTATGAGTTTTTTCTTCATTTTTGTAATTAATAAATTATTATTAACTCTTATTTATAATATTTTTGAGGCCTATACTTACTTACTTTCATTCATGTATGTAACATTTGTGAATAATGAAGTATATGTTATCAGTTAATGCCTTAATTTGTCCGGTATCGGTATTACCGAATTACTGTCGGTATTTACCAATACTGGGGCCGGTAAACCGAGCTTCCCCATTTGACTCTCGGTTGCCGATACCGCCGGTAAACGGTTTTTCGTTTACCGCCGGTTACCGGTTCGGTAAAACGGTAAACCGTTTACCGACTTACCGTTTGTCACCCTACTAGCTACCATATGAGCTACCCTATTGTCACCCCGACCTACAAATCGCACACTGAAGCCCGGATTTGTCGTGAAAAACTGTACCATCTCCTCCAAAATAGCCCCTACTTGACTATCACGCACATCAACTCGACAGATTTTATCAATGACCACCTTGGCGTCACCTTCAAACCGCATTGCCAAAAAACCATGTGCTACACACCAACGGACTACTTCCCGAAGAGTAAGTAGCTCTACCATAATTGGATCATCCAGCAGGGGGAACTGAACCCCCTGCAGCCCAGAGTGTCACCCCCACCTCATTGAGGAGTACCATTCCTCCCGCTGAGTGAGACCCTCTTCGAACTGCCCCATCCCAACGACACACAGGCCCCCCTGACCCACCTACTTCCAAAATAGGAGGACTAGGAGGAGGCTGAGAGGGAGGCTGATGATCACTAGGCATGCAGAGCCATTCACCTACCTGTTGATTATACTGCCTCATTAAAGCCGGAATTTCGAATTGTTTCCCTTCAAAGACCACCCAATTCTAGGATCTCCATATCCTCCACAGGACAGCAATTACCGCCATGAACTGCGAGGGCTGATGTAAGATATACAACAATTTCTTAAGGAAGAGGGGGAATCTATGACGGGGCAATCCTTCGCCAAGAGAATCTAAACCAGACTGAGTCCACAGAGCCCTAGCCACAGGGCAGTCAAAGAACAAGTGTTCCATTATCTCCAATGTAGCCCAGCAAACAGGACAACGGGGAAGGACCACAACCTTCCGCTCAATTAGCGCCTCAGTCGTCGGTAGAATTTTGTTCAAGATTTGCCAGGCAAACACCTTCAACTTCGGAGGAATGTTAGCCTTCCACAACCGGATCCAACTAGACTTGTCCATCCAACTAACCTGCGCCCGCCATCGCCCATTCTGTTGGTCCAGGCGAACCGCCAAGTGATAAGCCGATTTGACAGTAAAAATTTCATCCTCATTGGCATGCCAGATCAGACGATCCTCAATACTCTGCCTTGGGAGGGGCATCGCCTTAATCGCCTAGCAAGTCGGAGGGTCAAACCACTGACTCAACTTATTCTCACACCAACGCCCTTCCCCTGGACAGATGACTGCAGAGACCGTCACCTCCCCTCCCTCAAGCAGGACCCACGGGTTATACACAGGAGGGAAGTGATGTTATTGCGAGATCCAGTTCGAATTGAGCAATGGGGCCTTCTGGCCATTCCCAATCTGCCACCGCAAATCCTTAATCAACAATTGACGCCCAAAGAGAATGCTTTGCCATCCCCAGGACGGACGGGAACGAGCCGTAGCCGAAAGGAAAGAGCCCTGCGGGAAATATTTCCCTCTATAGACCTGGGCTAGGAGGGACTGGGGTTCATTCAGGATTCGCCATCCTATCTTAGCTAATAACGCTTGATTAAACTGTCCAAACCGACGAAAACCCATACCCCCTCATTTTTACTTCTACACAGATTTCGCCAGGAGACCCACTGAATCTTGGAGCGTCCATCCTCTACCCCCCACCACAATCTAGCCACATGCTTGTCCAGGAGGCGACAAAGAGATAAAGGCAGACGAAAGCAGGACATCACATGGAGCGGCAGAGCTAAAGTAATAGACTTAATCAGAGTTTCTTTAGTTGTCCAAGACAAAGTCCTACGTTTCCATCCTTGTAAGTGTTCTAAAAGCTTTTCCTCCAAATAGGGGAAAGTGGCTGTCTTGGAGCGAGCAATCAAAGTGGAGAGACCAAGATACTTATCCTGGACCCCTACTGCACCCACGCTAAGGATTGCCGCCAAGAACTCTTGATATGGCAAAGGGATGTTCTTACTAAAACAAACCGCCGATTTCTCCAAATTCACCCTCTGGCCACTAACCTCCCCATACTCATTAAGAACTTCTATCAGATTCTCACACTCCTGGAGGTAACCACGGAGGAACAAATAAGAATCATCAGCAAAGAACATATGAGATATTCGGGGAGCCCGAGGAGCCACCTTAACTCCTGCCAGCCTCTTTTCAGAGATGACTTTACGAAGTAAGGCAGCAAACCCCTCTGTGCAAAGCATAAAGAGAAGGAGAGAAAGAGGATCCCCCTGCCGGAGCCCCCTAGAAGGCGTAAAGAAACTAGACGGAGATCCGTTCATGAGGACCGAGAACGTTGTTGACTGTAAGCATTCATGAATCCATCCACGCCAGACCGAGTTAAAACCCATTTTTTCCAAAACCGCAAGAGTCGTCAATTACAAAAGAATATAAGACTCACATTCGCTTGAAAACTTGTTAACACTGGGTTCAAGTTGTTTTGATAAGGTTGAATAGGTTGGATACCTGTAGGTTTGAGTGCTCAACCAAAAGGAAAAAGATAAATAAAAAACACTAAAAAGGATAAAAACTCGTTCCCTACCAAAAACTCTGCACACCGAGCTCAACTCGCCTTGACTAGTTCAAACCGAGTTTTTAACAGTTCACACTCAACTCAACATGCCAATTCTAAAAGCAAATAAAACGTACTCTTGATACAAAACTCGTTAGCGGAGAAGGAGAAATAAAAAAAATATATTAAAGCGGACAAAACTCACTCTCGATCTAAAACTCATCAACGCCGCGTTTAGCTCGCCTTGACCCGATCGAATCGAGTTCTTAACAAATTCACACTCGACCTATCTTGCAAACTACAAAAGCGGCTAAAACTAGCTCTCGATTCAAAACATGTTTATACCATGAGTTTGAGTTCAATTGTCATTCTTAACAAAAGATAAAATTAAAATTTTAAAATATTAATGTCGAGTTCAACTCACTTTGACCTGATCGAATTAGGTTGGACACCCATGAGTTTGAGTTCAATTGTCATGCTTAACCAAAAGGAAAAAGAGGAATACGAAAATATTAAAGAATATGAAACTCGATCTCGATACAAAACTCGGCAACACAGAGCAAATTTAGTATTAATTTTTCGGTGGTAGTCTTGGGACACAGTGGATGAGTACAAATTAAGATTCCAGTCCACCAACAATATTTGGAGAAGGGTTGTGAATTAGTTGATGAAGGAGAGAATTATGCATAGTAGATATGTTATGGATCTTCGGTAGGCGATCGTGACATCTATTATTCATTGATTTCGTCGATAGTGTTTCGAGATGAGTTGCAAATTGGTGGTCCAAGGCGATGATTTGGGCAGAAGATCATAGACAAAAACCTAATTAATAGACAATAACTACAATGGAAAATCTAATGGGCAATAGATATAGATGTGACAGACAATAGATGAACACATAGTTTAAGGTTATAGAATGAGAGAGTGATGTAAAAGAGAAACTTGAAACTTCCCCACTTGCACTTGTAGGAGTTTGAGAACCACTAATAAATAGTAACTCTAATGTTAAACTTTTATATATTAATATTAATCTATGAGGGGAATAAAACAAGGATTCTGAAGCATTGCAGGATTCAAAGGAGTGTACTAACTTAGAGGCTTGAATAATGATACATGCTCAGCCAGGAAGGGAAAAAGACCAAAGTGGCCTCCTATATTTGTTTTTTTTTTAAATTGTTTTTGGCACAATTGTAAAATGAAATTATAGAATAAGGTCATAGGAGCTCTTCGACGGACATTAATGGCGAAGATCTACCATTGCATCAGTAACCATATTTCCGGTAATGCGTAAATGCCTTGTTTCTTAACATTTCTGGTGTAGAATGTGACAGTCTACACACTACAGTCAGAAATCCAACAACTGTTTGTGAATCCGAATGCACGGCAGCGACTGTGCCAGGTGTAGCCGAGCGAGTCACTGATTTTATGGAGCCCAATTCAAACTGGTCTTGAGTTACGGGCTTGATTAAGTTGGGCCATCTCTAGTCTTTAGGCCCAGTGCAGAATATGTACTTGTTTGCTTAGCCCAAGTAGTAAAACGCTCAAACCATGGCCATAAGAGGAGAGGGACACCCTCCATTTCCAATGCCTCCATAAGAGTAATTTCAGAAACCATAAACCAAAGTAGAAAGCTTGGGTATAATTCAGGTCAAAATGAAGTATTAACTCATTTGAGATTTAACAATTGTTCAAATAGTTTCGATCATTGTTCAATCGTTTCATACCGCTAAAATTAGCTA